GGGCTTCCGTGCACATCTTGAAGAACCATGTCTATGAGCTTAATTTAGAAGAATATTAGGGCAGCCAGGTGGCTCAGTTGGTTAGAGTGCGAGCTCTGAGCAACAGGGTTGCTGGTTTGATTCCCACATGGACCAGTGAGCTGCACCCGAGCTGAGCTGTCGATGGGCGGCCAGGTGGCTCAGTTGGTTAGACAGCGTGCTCTTAACAACAAGGTTGCCAGTTTGACTCCTGCATGGGATGGTGGGTTACACCCTCCACAATTAGATTGAAAATGGTGACTGGACTTGGAGCTGAGCTGTGCCCTCCACAACTAAGATTAAAGGACAACAACTTGACTTGGAGCTGATGGGTCCTGGAAAAACACAATGTTCCCCTTCCCTAATTCCATGACACTATTCCCTTCCCCAATTTCTCAATAAAATCTTTTAGAAAAGGAAGAATAAGAAGAAGAGTATTACCTGGAGATAGAGGTCCAGCTGGGATGTAAGATTCAAGCAAAACCAGAGGAATAGAAGATCAAGTTTAAGCTCCTCCCACCTGGATGTCCTGCACGGTCAATACGGGACATCTGTCAGGCACCCCACCCCAGCCAGGACTGGGGACCCACAGCGCAGGACAGTCACTTCCCTCAAGAAACTCAATGCAAGGAAGCTGCCAATGATCAGCAACATGACTTGACAAGTGCAGTCACTAAAGGGACTCTCCCTCTGTGGTGAGTAGGCTGGGTGAGGTAAATGAGGATTGTGGTCGTAAGTATCATATGGATCAGATAGATTTGCACAAAGGAAAAACAAATGTCCTAGCCACAGACAATAGACTTTGAACCACAGCCACAGGCTATGTCTTAGGTATAGAATAAACACAAATGACAGTTACAAAGAGACCCCTAAGTCCAAGTACACCACATACTGACCCCAAACGCCAACCACAAAAGGGTCCCAACCCCATTGGGAATCCCCAGGGTGACCCACAGCATCTTCTCTGAGTTCCCAGCTATGACCTTGGCCTTGGGGCTTTGGACAGGAAAGCCACAGGCTGGGAAATTCCTGAGTTCAAAGAAGAGAAGTACAGAGCACTGGAGGAGGGGCTGTCTTCTGACCATAAGTCACTAAGATTTCCCTGAAGGTTCTGCTCTGAGCCTCCCTGGGGTCCCCCGCAGGCCAGGCTTACCCTCTGACAGCCAGCTGGCCCTGTGCTGGCCAGAGCAGAATAGGGCCAAGCACCCAGCGGCTGTTCATACATCATTTTTTGAATGAATCAGTTTGTTAACTAATAATTCCTTACTTGTGCTCCAAATTCTTGATCAGCCCTCCTCTCTCCTGTATCTCCCTATACCTGGATCCCTCCTTTCAGCATTTCCACACACTCAAGGCTCCCATCTCACAAGCAGTGTCCACACCCTCCATGCTCACACCATCTCCACTCACTCCTCACATACCCAGTCCACGGTCCACCCCCATCTCTCCCCACGACTGTTCTCGGTTCCATGAGCAGCAGCAACTAGGCCACGAAGCCCGGAGGACACCGTGCGCTCCACATGGTACATGGCCTCCCCAGCTGCCCGTCCCTCCTTTGTGACACAGTCCTCCCACCATGTCTCCAGCGCCCTCCACGCCAGTCTCTACATCTCAAGGTGCTATCCCAGGAAATTTCGTCTTACTCCACCCTCACTGCCCCCACCCAACCCTCCACCCCAAGCTTCAATTCCCGTATCTATGAAAGTGACTCCAGATTTTTACCTCCAGTCCTGACCCTCCTTCTAAGCCTGGCCCTAAATACCCAGCTGCTCACTGACCCCATTTGTGTCTCAAGCACATCCAACTCAGCACTTAAAATGTAAGCTCTCATCCTCCCTCCCGGGTCACTCTATCTCAGAGAATGGCTGTAACATTTATCCAATTGCTCCAAACCTGGGCCCACTCCTGCCTCCTACCGCCTCCCCAAGTGCTCATACCTCATCAGTGTACCTTCCAGGAAACCTGACCACTTCCAAATAACCTCCCAGGGCCCTCGGAGTCAGGCCACCATCCTCTCCTCATTAGGCTCCTGCAGGCAGCTCCCAACTCTCCACGTCCCACTCTGCTCCCTCCTATGCACTCTCCACACAACAGCCAAGGTGATTTTTCCAAAGTCCCATCATCTTACTCCTCTGACTAACATCTTCAAGATGTCAATGTCCCTAGTTAGGATAAAGCCCAAAATCTTCAGCAAAACTTCCAAGGGTCCAACTCCTCGCCCCTAACTGTGGATGCTCAGGCCATTCTGGTCTTCCGGTTGGAGGAGCCCTCTCTCTCTCCTGCCTACTGGCATTCCAGGGCATACAGCAGCGCTTCCCAAGCTGTAACGTGCATATGAGCGGCGATGTTGGTAAAACGCAGACTCTGACTCAGTTGTCTGGAGTAAGGCCTGAGACTCTGCATTTCTAAGGAACTCCCAAATGATGAAGGTGCTACTGGTCTCCTGGCCTTACTACTTCTAGTAGTAAGTACCTAGAACATTCTCCTCCACCCTGACTGCACCTTTGCCTAACTAAGTCCTACTTGACTCTCAGGGTTCAGCTGAAACATCATTTCCTCAACGAAGCCCTACCTGACCCTCGCCAAGATTAGGTTAGAGTCCCCCCTCCACAGACCTTATAGTGTCCTCCAGCTACGCTGTGCTTCTCTCTTGGAACACACCTAACTGTCCATCCCTCATTCTTTTTTTTTTTTTTTAAAGATTTTTATTGGGGAATTGGGGGGATGGGAACAGTGCTGGGGAATTGGGGAAGGGGAACAGACAAGTTGCTGTCGTTTTGTTCTTCAGTCTAGTTGTGGAGGACGTTGCTTCACTGGCCCAAGTTGGCACCATCATTGGGCTCATCTCTGGCGAGGCAGATCAGTCGCCGGCTTCTGGACGGCCGCTCACTGCGGCTGTTGGCCGCTCACGCTGGCTGCTGGCTACATACGGTAGCCCATGGCAACCCACTGCCACAGGGACTGCAGCCTACGCCGTCGCCGGCGACTCATGGCAGCCAAGCTCCAGGTCGAGCTGTTGTTCAGCATCTTAGCTGTAGAGGGCAGTGTCACTGGCCCTCATATGTGGGATCCGAACCGGGGCCCTCTGGCATCCCAAGAGAGTTCTTAACCATCGCGCCACTCGGCCGGCCCCCATCCCTCATTCTTGAAATTCTGTTTCCAACTTTTGTCTCCCTAGCTAGACTACAAGCTTCAGAACAGGGGCCACAATGTCTTGTTCACTACTGGGTCCCCAGCACTCAGCACTGGGCCTGGCACATGGTCAGCACTTGAAGTCAAAAGCTGTTGGTCTTGCCTGTCCTGCATCCATTTATTCTTCTCCTTACAGTAACACTTCAATTTTCCTTTGAGAAGCCACTCCTCCTCCGCTCTTGGTTCTCAGGATTTAGCTGGTGGATATGAGACCCAAGTCTGGCCAATCAGAGCCTTCCATCTCTCTAGCTGCAATGATTGGTTCAGAGACAGACATGTGACCTAAGCCAGGCCAATGAGCTTCCTCCCAGATACTTTTGTTAGCACTACTAGGGAAAAGACTCTTCTTTCCACTGGAGCTACTTACCAAGTAGGAGTAGCTGTCACCATCCTGCCACCAGAGATAGAGCTTAACGAAGAATGAAACCAGTACAGAAGAGAGATGGAAAGAGACAGATTTCATGGATGCAGCCATGCCTGGAGTCTATACTTGCCACTACAAAGGCAATAAATTCCCTTCTATGCTTAAGCCAAAGTGAGTTATGTTTCTGTCACTTGAAACCAAGAGTCTTGACTAATACAACATTCAGATAAATACTGGGTGTTGAATGAATTAAATGAGTATGTGAATAATTAAAGCCTGCCAAGAGAACTCAGTGACTCCTCCTAGGAAACTTTCAGAGTGCTCCCTGCAAACTCCCACCATCCATGAGCACAAAGACAAGCATCCCACACTCCACTTCTCAGCATTACCTCATGCAAACAAGGCACCCCAGCACCTGGCTCAGATGCCAGCACTGTGACTAGGCTGATGAAGGTGGTCTGGCTTTCAATACCCCCAGGCACCCCACCAGGAAGAGGGCATAGCTGTCCTCAGTCAGCTCTATACTCCACCCACTCCTGAGCTTCTAATCCAAGCAGGGCAAACTCTGGCTGCCATTCCGTGATATTCCCCCTCGGTGAATACTACACAGCTCTGTGCATGGTGGGCATTCAATATGGGATAATAATGGGAAAATGGTTTTCATCAACTTCCTCTGGGGTATCACTTTGCAACAGATTAGGTCAGAGAAAAGAGGGTGCAACAGAGAGCAATGGGGGGGACTGAAGTGTAAAGGGGGAAGGGCATAGTAGGGGGAGAGTGCTGCCCCCTTGGCTTCTTTACAGGAATGAGAGGGGCCTGGAGCTGGGGGCCTGAGATGTGGTCTCCCAGGAAAGAGACTTGTGAATAAAATGCTAATAGGAAAAGAATTACTGGCTCCCCAGAACCTCAAAGGCATTTCATTCTCCCACAGGGACTGCGACGACAGGGCCAGCCCAAGAGGGCCAATCAGAGGCAGAAAGATCATGCCATTCAAGTCCCAGGAGGGTCCCAGCCCACAGGACCCCTTCTTCCCCACCCCCAGTCCCTGGCAGCCCTTTGGGGCAGCAGCAGCTTGAGGCACCAACCTGCAGCTACAGTCTAAGTCTCTCCCGCTTACTCCTGCCTGGGCTCCTTGGTCCAGAACCCCGCAGTTCCACAAGGCCTCTCGCTAATTACCAAGCATCCCTCCAACCCCGCTCAGCCCCAGTCTGTTTCCTCACCACACCCTAACACCTGGGTCTCACAGTCACATTTTCCTCCTGCACTCGTGAGCTCACGTGAACACTGCTTCCAGAGGTATCCAGGCACTCAGTGGTCCCTACCGGGACAGACCAGACGCAGCTAGGCCTGGTGCCAACACAAAGCAAGGCCTTGAGATTTCCCCCACCCAATTCCCCTCCCTGCTAAGCAACTCTAAGTTTCTTACCTTCATGGTGGGAGGCGCAGTGAGAGGAGGGGACAGCGACCGGTCTGGGAGGGTCACATCCGAGCTGTTGGCCAGTTCCTGCTTCCTGTAAGGAGGCCACAGAACACAGAAGTGAGTGGGGGCCTGCATGCACCTTCTCTCTCCTCTAAGAGTGGCTGGGCTTGAGGACACAGTCGAACACACACGCTGAACAAAAGGAGAGCAGGCTGCAGTTCTTGGCTGGAATGTACTAAAATCGAAAGCAAGGCGGCACCAAGTGTGGTCCCTGCTCCAGCAGCATCGCCTGGGAACGTGTGAGAAATGGAAATTCTCAGGTGCACACCACACGCTCTGGTGATGGAGTCCAGGAGCATGCATTTTAACAATCTCAGGGGTGACTGGTTAGCTCAGTTAGAGCATCACGCTGATAACACCAAGGTTGCCAGTTCAATCCCCACATGGGCCACTGTGAGCTGTGCCCTCCTTAAATGAGTCAACTATGTCATTGTAGCATGAAAGGAATATGTAACCAATGACCATGGCTGTTCCCAAATAAAAAATTAAAAAAAAAATAATCTCTCCAGGTAATTCTGATACAACGCTGAAGTCTGAAAACTAGGAGACTACGAGATACAGGACTGGGGATGCAGTGGGAAAAGAAGGGGAGAGGGGTACACGTTTTCAATTCATCCTTCCTGGAGTCCCTAAACACACACACACACACACACACACTCACAGCCAGAGAGCTGACCTTGGAAGGACGGGGCTGCCTGCTGTGTAAGCTGCAGGTAAAACTTATTTTAGTCCATGTGGGCTAGGGCCAGGGAGAGGCAGCTGAACAGAGTTGTGTCACCATGACAACATGATTGCAACAAGTTCGCTGCTCTCACACACTCCCCACTTTCCATCTGGCCCTTGCTGGTGACCAGGAAATGCTGGTTTGGAGTCCGATCACCAGACAGAATGTTTGCAGTGGGATAAGGCTTCAGAACAACAGTTACACAATAGGACCAGCTGGGCAGAACCTGGAGGAGTCCCCGGAAGAGGGACTCTGGTGTCCTGGATGTGCCCTAGTTACAGCCTGGGATGGGAGGGAAGGCAAGGGTAACAGTATGAAGAACCTAAGAAGACCAGACTGAGCCATCAAAGCGCCCCAACTTTGCAATGTTTCCTTCTCCAGAACCCCAGCCCTAAGCAGCCAAGTCGGCCTAACACCGGGTCGCACTTAAACAACCAGAGAACCTCCCGGCCACCTTGAGAGAATGCTTCTGTACTTCCTTCCAGCCCACATCCTACCAATGGGGATAACAGCTCCAACCCTAACCTCCTTCATGAGTGAAGCCCACCCCCTACAGCACCCAGCCCTCCGCCTTTCCAGAGCCCTTTCCCTGGGGCCCAGACACCACCCCATCCCGGCTTCCCTCACCCAGGCAGGCCAGGCATGGTAGGGCCCCGTCCACTCCGGTACAACCCCTGCCTGCACTGCAGCCTGTCCTCTAGGAAGCTCGATAAGGAGGCTACATAAACATCTGGCTTGGTAGAAGATCCATGTGACCCCATTAACCTCGACCCTGCCAATCCCCCTCTCTGCTCCTCCATCTGCCTTCCTCCTCCTTTCTTCTTGGACTTTGGTCTCACTCTGATGGCTGGAAAGGAGGGTCTCCCCCACTCCTGATCCAGATTGTAACTAGCACAAGAGCCAGCAGGGCCGAGACAGAGCGCATGTGTGTGCACGTGCATGCACACGACCGAATGTAGCTTCTTCTAGCTCTCAGTCAGAGCCACCAGCCTCCCCTTCCATTGTGGGGTCGAGCTGGGATGCTCTGGCCTTCCCCTGCCTATGGACCCAACAGAACCGAGTCTAGCACTGGCTTGCCACCTCCCGCCACTCTGCCCTCTCTCAAGCAGCCCCTGCTCCTCCTCAATGGACTGCACCCCCAAGAATCATGTTGGAGAAAAGGGGCCAGAGGAAGGATAATCAAGGATGGGGAGCACCACCAGGAGCTCAAGGACAGACAAAGACAGCTCTCCTTGGGAGCTGGGAGCCTGGTAAGGAAAAGCATGCAGGGAGGAGAGGGGAGGCACGCCCCCCAACCAGAGTCTATAGGACTGCTGGGAGTCAGCTGAGGACCTCTGGCCTACTCCCCACGGGCTTGTGGGCAAATTTCGGGCCAGCCGAGTGGCTCAGTTGGTTAAGAGCGTGAGCTCTGAGCAACAGGGTCACCGGTTCGATTCCCACATGGGCCAATGAGCTGCACCCGAGCTGAGCTGCCGCTGAGCTGCCAACAGGTGGCAGGATGGCTCAGCTGGTGAGAGCACGTGTTCCTAACAACAAGGTTGCCGGTTCAAACCCACATTGGATGGTGGGCTATGCCCACCCACAACTAAGATTGAACACAGCACCTTGAGCTGAGCTGCCCTGAGCTGCCGACAGGCAGCCAGATGGCGACTGGACTTGAAGCTGAGCTAGCTGCGCCCTCTACAACTAAGATTGAAGGACCACAACTTGGCTGTTCCTCTTCCCCAATTCCCCAACACTGTTTCCCTTCTCCAATTCCCCAATAAAATCTTTAAAAAAAAAAAAAGTGAGAACTCAGAACACACAGAGACCCTTGGCCGCCAATTAGAATCTACTCTGCCTTGGTATACAGAAGGCTTGGAGTGGCACCCATCAGGGGATGAACCACACTGAACCGTCCCTACTCTCAACTCCAGCCCTCCCCCTGGGAGCCAAAGGCACATATTTAAGAGCTAACTGCCTATTATGAGTTGAATTGTGTCCCCGCTAAAGATATACTGAAGTCCTAACCTTTAGGTACCTGTGAACATGACCTTATTTGGAAATGGGGTCCTCGCAGATGTAATTGAGTTAAGATGAGATCATTAGGTTGGCCCCTTAATTCAATGTGACTGGTGTCCTTAGAAGAGAAGAAGCTTTCTTCAGACACACAGGAAGAACGCAATGTGACAACAGAGGCAGAAATTGGAGCGGTACAGCTAGAATGCCAAGCAACGCCAAGGATTGCCAGACACTCCCAGAAGCTACAAGAGACATGGAAGGACCCTTCCCTGGAGCCTTCAGCGGGACATTGGCCCTGCTGACACCTTGATTTTGGACTTCTAGCCTCCAGAACTGGGACAATAAATGTCTGTTGTTTTAAGTTGCCTATTTGTGGTACTTGATTACAGCAGCCCTATGAAATGAAAACACTGCCCAAGCCCAGGTTCTGGCCTTGGCTTTGTAATTGGAGGATCAAAAACAAAAAGGATGAAATCCCTGCTTCAGTCTCACCTTGTCCTGCCCCACCCCTCACAGCCAATGACATTGGCGTGTGAGCCAACCTCCCAAGGACAGCCAGGCCCAGCCACCCGCTGGTGCTGAGATAAGACAGAGTAAGAACTACAGTGCTCAATGCAATTCCAGCCCTTTCTCAGGCAAACATATCACACGCAAGTAGGTGAGAGTGACACAATTCTGTCAAGGGGTAACCTTGAATCTGCTCTGATTTATTATAAGCGAAGGGTAAATTAGTAGCAGAGGTGGCACCCTTATACTTCTTTGAAACATCTTTCTAGTAACCCATAGTGATCTGGACATGTGTCATGGCACAGAGACTGAAAACTGCCCCTCCAACCAAGCGAGCCAAATGCCCACATACAGCGCTAAGGACACAGGGTCCCAGACTCACACAGGGACCCACAAGAGGAGGAGGTGGTGATGGGGGCAGAAGAGGGGAGAAGGAACACAAGGAGAAGGCAGAGGAAGGGAGGAAGAAGATCTTTCGCTCAGCTAAGAGAAGAGTGGTAAAAAAGCGGGGGGAATGGGCAGGTCGGGAACGCCCCCTCCCTCCTGTGGGGAATCCTGGAGGCGCAGCCCAGTCAGCATCCCTCCGCCCCAGAGCCACATGGCACTGAGGTTCTCTACTCTGGGATCCTTTCCCCAAAGTGTGGCTTCTGGGAAGGCTCGGAAAGCTCGGGGAGACCTGGAGAAGTCCTAGCCAGCTTTAGCCAAATGCAAATCTCAGGAGGAAATGATCAAAGAGCCTACAATGGAAACTGAGAAACCAAGGGGATGATTCACCCAAATAGGGCTGTTTGTAAGGAACTGAACAGACTCCCACGGGACGACCCCGCTTACAGCACCCAGGCTCCCAGGGTTCTCATCTCTAGTCTCCGCTGGCTCTGCCTCATACCATTTGAGGTCATTGCAGCCGTCATCGCTCACGCACTACTGAAACATGCCCTATGCTAAGAATCAAGAGATTCCTGAGTTCAAGTTTGGTTCTACCTGCGACCACACTGTGTGACCTTGGTTAAGTCACCTCACCTCTCTGTGTCCCAGTTCCTTCATCTGCAAAGATGGGGGTGATAATGTTCTGAGGAATTAAAAGTAATGGTTGTGAAGTAACACATAAAGTCCTGTACAAATGTAGACCATTATTATTATCATCATCATCTTTACGGTCATATCATAACTCATAAATTGGTGATCTGGTCCCCAGGGAGAGAGAGCGAAACAAGGGTCCGGGGCTATTTTAATGTCTTTGAAAACATTTCTGGCATCTCAAATAAGCACCAACTCCAGCCCCACGGATCTACTCTCAGGGTCATAACATCAGTTAATAATCAACAGGAAAAATACCCACCCACCATCAGATGGCTCTGGGGCCACACTTAAGCCCCCCCCACCCCCCAGCAGAGCGTTCTCCCAGACCTTCAAACTCCCCATGTTTGCATCTGCATCTCTCACGCCAGCTCCCCAGCCACCTGCCACGCTTGGCTGTGCTTTCTCCTACTTTCCAAATAGCCAAGCTAGAGAAACATAGACAGCTGGCCACTGCAAAGAGCCTCTCAGGAAAACCAAACCAAAAGCAATGAGACACATTATTCACAATAGCCGAAAGGTGGAAATAACCCAAGTGGCCACGACCGATGAGTGGATAAACAAAATGTGGTCTATCTACATGATGGAATATTATTCGGCCATAAAACTGAATGAAGTACTGACACACGTTACAACGTGGATGAACCTTGGAAACATTATGCTTAAGTGAAAGAAGCCAGACACAAACAGCCACATAGTATATGACTCCATTTATAGGAACT